ATTTTCTTTGTCTCTTCGAATGTTACAATAAATCAATGACGTGCTTTTCCGAAACACCATTTTCTAAAATTTTTACTATAGGGGAGACCGGGGCTAACTCGACACCGGGGCAAACTTGACACTAGGCTTTTTGCCAATTTAAATCTATCGTATAGAAACTTGCTTTTCCTACTGTAAATGCGTCTTTATGTGCCAGTATTACCAACGGAATTTGGTAACATTCTGAGTTATAGTGTAATTTTTAACGCGACATAAGCGTTTTTGATAGTAAAAAGTAATTTTTTTTATCTCTCAAAAATGGTCTACTCTTTCATCGAGCTTTCGGGCCAAACTAAGCGACGTACAGCAAAATTTCCTTTAAATGTGTACCATTAAATTTGCTTGAAAATTTTAATTAATTGTTGAAAATTGCCTTTGAAAAAATTGTGTCGAGTTAGCCCCGGTCTCCCCTATGTATATATAAGTATACCTGGTTATGAACAAAATATTACCCGCGAAAAACGATTGTATTAAAACCGTATTAAAAGCTTATATGAATTTATTAAGAATCTTATTAGAATCGAATATGCAAATCAATTATAATTTAAATATGTCATATTTAAATCAAATTAAAGTACCCCATCTTATTTAATCTATATATGGATTAAACTGGACCTTGCTTTGTTAAAGTATGCAAAATCAGCCGCACAGACCTAAGAAAATGCAAAGTTAATATGGTTTTAATTTGCCAAATGTGGATTAAATATGGTAATAAATTCAAAATTAATTTGTTAAATATAATCATATAAGTCAAATATAATCATATATAAGTCAAATATAAGTCAAATATAATCATATATAAGTCAAATATAAGTCAAATATAATCATATAAGTCAAATATAATCATATAAGTCAAATTTGTCATATAAGTCAAATTTGTCATATATAAATGTTATTTGATCTTATTAGAATTTTATATATAATTTTGTTTTAAATTTAAATTTATACCAATTTATAAATTTAAACAAAATTATATAAAATTTTATTTTTTAAGCGTGCTACTTTATTATAAGAGTGGACTTCACGATATAACTGATACAAAAATTGTGTCGTTCCGAGACAGTGTCGTGTCTTTTTGATACCGTTATCTTATAACACTCTTTGTCAAATTTTAATTACGAGAAACAGATCACATCGAATGCCATCTATCGGATACTTTGAGATGCAATATTCTGATCTGATCATATATAATCTTATATGACTATATTATTTTTTTTTTAATTTAAATCAAATATTTTACATGTTAAGTTCGACAAATAAAGAAACAAATTTTACCGCAAATATTATTTAAACATTATTTAAACAAAAATACGTTTTAATAACAATCAAATTAAAACCAAAGGGCCTAGCGGAGTAAGCATGTGAAATCGGCCCTTGATCATACAGAGCTGACATTAATGTCACAAGTTAGTACCAATATGATAAAACTTTCCACCAAATATTATTTTAAAAAATCCACTTTTTTAGAAGTTATGCAGGGAGAAAGTAAAATAAAGAAATGTATTTTTCTCGAAAACCACTTGACCGATCTTGATGAAAAAAATATATGTTATGTAGACTAATAAAACTAATTAACAAAAAAAATGTCCAAAATGTTTGCCAAAAAAAGACCAAAAAAAATATTTAAATTTTTAAATATTTTTTTTTAGGGTGATATTTTCGAGGTACCCCTTTGAAATTTTTACGAAAATTTCTCTTAAAGTGTCTACTATAACTTATATTTTTTTCAATTTTTTTTAAATAGTGGAACATAGTTAAAAATACGAAAATCGTAAGCGTCGCGTCACTCCGGCGCACAGTGCAGTGCCATTCCGCGTTGCGGGTGTTCGATGTAACTTTACTAGCACATATGTACGTCTGCAATTAGCCTATAATATGTATACTTTTTAAATTTTATAGTTTTCAGAGTTTACCACGTGGAGGTTGCAGTACGGTTTTAAACTCCTTATTGGGGTGCTTTTTTAACGTGAGTCCCCTCGCCTCTCACTATATTTCCGTAAAATCAGGGTGCTTTTTTAACGTGAGTCCCCTCGCCTTTCACTACGTTTCCGTAAAATGAGGGTGCTTTTTTAACGTGAGTCCCTTCGCCTCTCACTACGTTTCCGTAAAATCGGGGTGCTTTTTTAACGTGAGTCCTCTCGCCTTTCACTACGTTTCCGTAAAATCAGGGTGCTTTTTTAACGTGAGTCTCTTTGCCTCTCACTACGTTTCCGTAAAATCGGGGTGCTTTTTTAACGTGAGTCCCCTCGCCTCTCACTACGTTTCCGTAAAATCAGGGTGCTTTTTGAATGTAAGACCCCTCGCTTCTCATTGACAGCAGCATCCAATTGTTCGTAGCCCATTAGCGATCTGTTTAAGAAAACAAATAACATTCCAGTAATAGACAGTGATAGTGAAGAAGATTAAATAAATCGTAGGTGTAGGCTGTAATAAGAGACGAGGGGTCTTACATTCAAAAAGCACCCCAATTTTACGGAAACGTAGTGAGAGGCAAAGGGACTCACGTTAAAAAAGCACCCTGATTTTACGGAAACGTAGTGAAAGGCGAGGGGACTCACGTTAAAAAAGCACCCCAATAAGGAGTTTAAAACCGTACTGCAACCTCCACGTGGTAAACTCTGAAAACTATAAAATTTAAAAAGTATACATATTATAGGCTAATTGCAGACGTACATATGTGCTAGTAAAGTTACATCGAACACCCGCAACGCGGAATGGCACTGCACTGTGCGCCGGAGTGACGCGACGCTTACGATTTTCGTATTTTTAACTATGTTCCACTATTTAAAAAAAATTGAAAAAAATATAAGTTATAGTAGACACTTTAAGAGAAATTTTCGTAAAAATTTCAAAGGGGTACCTCGAAAATATCACCCTAAAAAAAAATATTTAAAAATTTAAATATTTTTTTTGGTCTTTTTTTGGCAAACATTTTGGACATTTTTTTTGTTAATTAGTTTTATTAGTCTACATAACATATATTTTTTTCATCAAGATCGGTCAAGTGGTTTTCGAGAAAAATACATTTCTTTATTTTACTTTCTCCCTGCATAACTTCTAAAAAAGTGGATTTTTTAAAATAATATTTGGTGGAAAGTTTTATCATATTGGTACTAACTTGTGACATTAATGTCAGCTCTGTATGATCAAGGGCCGATTTCACATGCTTACTCCGCTAGGCCCTTTGGGTTAAAGCCGCAATTGAATCGAGTAAAAGTCGCATACAGAACACATTAACTTTTTATTAAAATCTTATATATAAATATTCTGCATCATGTATGGTTCTGGATCATATATAATCCACATAAGTTATCTTATTAAATACAAATTAAAACCATATTTGATTCGAAGTGTTATATGATCCACATAAGTGATCTAATTAAATTTTAATTAAAGCCCTATTTTATTGTGGATCATATTTAATCTACATAACTGATTTTAATAAGTGCAAATTAAAACTGTATTTAAACAAATATAATTTTAATATAAAATCTGGATTTAATTTGAATTTTACCCAAATTAAATATGATTTAATATGATTTTAGTTAGATTCATATTAGATCGTTTTTCGCGGGTAGCAGTATACCAGATTACCAACAGACATAATACGAGTAGAATATTGCGATAAATTGGCAACAGCTGCATTAAACTCATATTAAACAAATTCTACTCGGTTTCTACAGTCAATCTGCAATTATATTTTATACTACAATTTATAGTACAAGATATTCAAAGCTAATTATTAAAATCGGATAAAGAGGGAAGAGCGACACTTGCGTGTGCATGCTTTGTCACAAAAAAATAAAAAAAGGGCGACACTTGCGTGTGCTTCTTTGTCACAAAAAAATAGGTAAGGGAAAACTTAAAAAATCTGGTATTCAACTTTCCCTTGATTTCATAAACGTCTTTCAGAAATTTATATTTGTTTACTTCGCAATTAAGTGTTAGTATGTGTTCCAAACGTGATAATCGATCTCAGAAGTAACGATATACATTAAATACTTAAATATAACAATATTATGCTGCAAATATATTTCCATAAACATTTAAATGCACTTAATTTATATCTTATAATCTATAAACAAGTAAAAATTATCTTTATATCATCATTTTCTTTTATATTAATTGATACTAAAATTACTTAGCATATAAACAACACAAATAAAAGTTACTTATTAAATATAAGAATAGTGTATGCATTATTACAAATGGCGACAATGACAATTGGGTTAACATTGACTGGATAAGAAATGTTTCATTTCTCGCAACCTCTCCCACGCTTGTGCGAGAATCGTCGGGGATTGCAACCCTTCTGAGACCAATAACAATCGGCGTCGATGTGAAATTTTGTGTCACGGGCGTGCCTCATCGTCGGAATAGTTTGAAGAAAGCGACATGCTCGAGCGAACGGGGTGGACCCATGATAGGCCTTATTGCGCGACCCTTCGATATCGTTCGTTCGTATCGGTTCTGCATCGGCCTACCCTGCCTCTCCAACCGCGCTGACTTTCCACGCTGATCGTTTGTGATCTCTCCCCTCCCTCTGCCTGCACTCGTGCTCCCTCGTGACAAAAGGGGCGAGAGCCCCGTGGCCGCGGCGACCGATTAATTCTCTACAAAGGGGCTGCGTATCTCGCATCGAGCCCTCGACAGGCCCCTCGAAAACCCACCTACGGCCCTACTGCCAACGGCGTCCATGCTTTCAATCCTGCAGCCGATGCTTTACGAAGGACGGATCCCTCCCTCCTCCATCCCCAAAGTGGATTGGTTCGACCCCCAAAAGGCCATTGGCAGGGGGGAAATATTTCTATAAGTATAAGATCGGGGTGAGCCTAGATTTGTATTCAGTTACCTATGAACAGCTCTCACTGTCGCGTTGACTGTCCTAATCGTGTGCGCGACACGGTCTTTCGTGACGGAGAAAGTAAAGTGTTCGACATCAACATTGGCTCTTTCCCAAGATGTCCAAGCCGAAGACCATGGGCTTATTTCGACCTTGGAACGATATGGAGACAACAAACAAGGCTTCCGAAATCGTCATCGTTGACAACGCGCTCCGCAACGTGTCCAGTAGCAGGCAGGAAGACGACGAACAGGTCGTGTCCTCGACGACGTCGACAACTTTAACGAGCACCGCTGAAACATCCGACGACTGTGACGGCAATGTCTTGGATGAAGGAACGGCGGCCTCGACGTCGTTAACCGGTTCTCGTCGTACGCGGATAGAGAAAGGCGAGTCTTTCGACGACGTAGCGACGACCAGAACTACGCCATCCCTTAAAGACGAGGAGGAAGCCTTTGTCGTGCAAGGCGCGAGGCGCAGCTCACGTGCCTTTCATCTGCAGGAACCAGTGAACTCGATGATTCCCGTGCCGCGCGTGACTCCCACTCGGGATTCGGACGAGTTCAACGATTCTAGTGACGTTATTTCGTCGAATTATCTGTCGGCGCTTCGAGAATTTCGACCGTCGGAGGATTTTGCCGCGATTATCGGAGCTTATCCGATGACGGTCGCGAATTCGGATGTCGCGGGACCGTGGACTGTGAGCTCCGATCGCATTCCCGACGTTCCCAGGATACATCCCGGCATTTATTCTGGAATACACCCCGGATTTCAGCCCGGCATCTATCCTGGAATCTTTCCTTTAAACCTTTATAATCACTCCGTGGAAGAAGCGGTGCAAATGGTGCACCGGCAGGATGTTGTCGCTAAAGAGATGAAGAAGATGCGCCCGAAGAAACACAGCTGCCCACATTGCAGCATGGCATTCAGTAACGGCGGTCAGCTTACCGGACACATTCGCATACATACTGGTTAGTTAAAGTTTTTAATATAAAATTTATATATTTATGTAATGTTTGATATGAGTAAGAAAAAATAGCCATGAAAAATGGAAAACGTTTCATAAAGAACATTTTTAACATTTGTAAATAGCCTTTTATCTTTTACACAGTAGCTAGTTTGCTAGACAACATTTTTAAATTTAGTCTGCAAGTTACTCTCTTTATCTTATTTTACAAATAGTCATGGAAAACGTTTCATAAAAAACATTTTTTAAAAATTTCAAATTGCTTAATTTTTTTACACACACACACACACACACACACACACCACACATACACACACACTGTTAGTTTGCTAGACAAAATCTTTAAATTTATTTTGATAAGTTACTTCTTTTATCTTATTTTACAAAATTGCATTAAAGACAATTTTTAAATATAAAATGTTAAGAAAAAAAATAAATAAAAACTATAGATGTATATAAAAAATAAAAATTCTTTTAAAATGTTATTGTATAAAATTCATTATTGCAAAATTTTAGCATGTATTTTCTTTATTTTCCGTGTAGTCCCAGCTAGATTGGGATATTTATCGCAGCAGAAACTTTTGTATCTATTTATGTTTTTTTTGCATCTAATTTTTTTTCTTTTTTAATATATAAATGGTTTGTAAAATATCTATAATTCCTACGTAAACAACACGCACATTTAAAAGAATCGCAGATATTCTTAGAGAGATTTATCACGCACACATTCAGCGAGAAAAGAATTTCCGCATCCGCTAGGCTCATACATATTTTATTCCTGGCTAATTGCTGAAATTATTGCTGCGCCTTATTGTTTCAATAAGTTTGCACGCTAACGTCCATGGTTATCTTTCTAATTTCTATTTGAGAAATATTAGCGAGAATCATTCTCAAATGCATACCATCCTCACGAATAAATTATGTCGCAGGCAAAAATAAATGATTGTTGGAACATAATTAGGAGTATAGCATGCAGGATTTTTGTTTCTATAATATAGGTGAGAGACCGTTCAAGTGCGACGTCGAGACCTGCGGAAAACGGTTCACGAGAAACGAGGAACTCACGCGGCACAAACGAATTCATACTGGCGTTCGGCCTTACTCCTGTGTCTTTTGCAAGAAGCGGTTCGGACGCAAAGATCATCTCAAAAAGCATATGAGGACTCATGAGGTACGCGATTCGTATCGCGTTTCGACAGCGGCGTTGGGCATGATCGCTTCTCTAAGTTACCCGTTTCAACAATCTACCGAGCTTTCGCCTTATCTCTATCAGATCTGACGTTGGATCTTCGATAGAGAATCGAGTACAACGATCACTTTGACAATAAATAAATTTAATTTTTGTAATGTTTACAATAAACGTGAACTACCTCTTGACGCTTAGAGATTTTCAAGACAAGAAGTTCGGAGGGGTTTGCATCGATTAGCGATACCATGGACCGTGAACTCGATAATCTCCGAATTCCGTTTGTCGCGACAAATTTATTGTACGAAAGGAAAAACGACGCAAGAAATCGAATATTTTGCAACATTGTAAGTTAGATAAGTTGCGAATGTAAATATAAGTTAGAGAATAAGTAATTTACGTATTTTACAGTGTAATATACTAGTCGGATAACACTGTAACATCTTTATTACTACGATATCATGCAGCATAAAGTCAATTTTCAAAGCGTTCATCATTAAGCCATTCTCGTCTTGAAATACGAATTTTTGAAACATGTTTTTTATTAATTACCTCATATACTTATATTATTCTATGGAATATTTCTTTATCTCACCTTTTCAATCAATTTCATATATAGATCGAACTTGCAACTCGTCGACTACGGAGTGTACGCTTAAACTAATTGCACCGCTTTTACACGAATCCACGTGTCTCATCCAATTTAACGTAAAATAATATAATATAAATACTTATGTAGTATAATATATATATATATACATATATATATGTATAGCCTTCATTGTTTGCCAATTAGTTTACAAGATTTCCGTTTTCATGCACTTTTCTTTTTATTTTTTACATAATAATATACATATATTTTTGTAATATATAGTGTATACAGTGTATATACTTATGTAATTTAATATAAATGTTCTACTTTTCTTTTAGTGTCATATTCTTTCAGCAAATATTGATAATCATCCTGGCTATTACTGTTTTGTTAACTGTGGTTTTAAAGGGCCAGGGATGTTTTGCCAAAATTGCCTTAAATTCTCAGCCATGAGGTTTTTCGTCTTCCAGAACCTCTTTTACCGTATCTTGCTTTGCATAACTAATTGAAATAAATGATACTTACAATTTTTTATTATATGTCTTAGGTTAAATGTGGTGTATTTTGATAACAGTAATATGTTAAGTGTATATACATATACATATACATATGTAAAACGTATATAAAATTATAGTATGTTAGGTGTAAATATTTAAAGACTGAATGTACTTGACAAATGTATATTTTATATATATTTATTACTTTTTGTATATTATATTTGTTATATATTTGAGGGATTTTTATTGTTGAAATAAATATTTATAAATTGATAGCAACTCATTTAATATCTATTTTTCTATTTTGACGGTAATAGTTATTCTTATATCCGCTTTTAAAAAAGGTATGTTAAACCGATAAGTACTCGTTTTCTAAAATATACAATAAGATACTCTACTTGAAACGCAGATACGGAATAAATATATTAATTTTATTTTATTAAACAATCAGTATTTCTTTATTGCAACAATTGGATACTTAAGTTGACGTAACAATTTTCAATTTGTATCTTTTTACTGTTTTATTTTCATAAACATTAGCGGATGATTGAGCGAATTTATTTCTAGTAGTATTATATATATCAACATTGCGCGCGCACTTTTGTTAATATTTTTTTATTGTCCATAACTGCAATATTTTTCTGGCGATAATTTCCTAATCATTTCTCATAAAAATATGGGCACATACTTTAAATCAGTTATTTTAATCAGGCAACGATATTCCGTCAACGTTACTTCGGAACTACCACCATTTTCCCGGCGATTAAATTCAAGATGGCGTCACCAGCCGCGCCGATTGCAACCCCTCGTGTAATAGAGAATCCCCTTGCTCGTTTATGCGACGCACTGTAAAGGACGTAGGGGGAAGAACGGTGGGTTGCGCCCTTTCGCCCGCGGTAACGCACACGCGTCTCTCTGTGCCCGTGCTCTTTTTCCGCCTTTTTTTCATTACAATACGTTTTTATGGCATGTTTCGCGGTTGAGTATGAATCTGTGATTCCGAGGGAAGGATGAAAGGATAATATGCTCACTCGTCGAATCGAGGAATTAAAAAAAATGGATATTATTAATTTCTTTAGAAATAATTTATATATTTGTGATTTAAACTCGTGTTGCTCCTTTTTCACTTTTACAATTTTCCAATAGTTTGCAAAATGACTGTTTTGTAGATATATCTATATGTATATTTCTAAAAATTAATGGCATTAAAAGTGTCTTTCTTATATGACGCAATTATGTATATCTAACAAAAGAAATTAATATTAATTATAATGTAATATTATTAATATTAATAATAGAATGTTTTTATATATTTATTTGTTGTTTGGTTCTATTTTCACACAGATTAGAATTATATAAATTATAAAACATAAATTTTATAAACGTATATAATTAAATAACCCTATTACTTTCAATCAAAAGTGGTATAATCTGGAAAATTAACATTTTATTATTTAATTGCATCTCTAGCAAGATGCAATTCGCGCCGCTAATAGTCGTCAATCTTTCTCTTTTAATTATTTGCAGCTAGAAAATTATTAATATATGTGCGTGTGTGTGTCAATATTTCTAACTTTCCTTCTAGTCTTAATTGCAATTAAGCACACGCCAATAAGCGAACTTTAGATTCGATTTATTAGTGGATTAGTGGATTATTAGCGGATTATTAGCGGATTATGAGCGGCACGCGAATGTTAGCTTCTGTACGGGATGCGACACACGGATACGATCGCAACTGACAGAACTGGATAATCCGGGAGCTGCTGCGGTAGCTTAGCGTTAAGTGTATCACTGTGTATCAGATTCTCACACGGAGAGTCCCGGTAGCAATTCGGGTAGCGGAAACCCCGCTGGGACTTCGTCGGGCTCGTTGACACCCCCCTACCGTTCTACAGATATATGATCGCGAGCCCTCTAGGGCTTTTTCTCTAGAGCACAAACCTTTCTTCCCAGTATCTATCCCTCTTCATCCACTATACTGAGTTTCGACGTTCTTTTCCGAAGATACAAAAACTTTGTTCTCTTTTCTCTCTTCTAAAAGTTCCTTTTTCTCTCCAACGGTCAGCCAAGTTTAATCTTTTTAGACATTTTCCCATTAAAAACTTTTTTGGAGTTTTTAAAAGTTTTTAAAACTGAAAAGAAAACTGAAAAGAAAAAGCTCCAAAGACATTAAACTTTTTGAATTATGCGTTTTATGATTTCTCCCTTGTTCTTCCTGATGTTATTAGAGGTGGATCAGTATAGGTGGTTTGCTGTCGGTCTGACCTGTTCCAAATCTCATAACCGGAGGGTAACTCTGGGTTAGACAGTTGCTTGAACGCACCCGGATTACATCCCGAGAAGAGCCTACCCTAATCTCTCAGGTTACACCGATAATCTATTAAGTCAACTACGCCCAAATATTTGTGACATTATTTGTCACTTTCTACTTTTGCACTTGCCGACAAAACAAACAAGTGGATTATTCCACTTCAAATCTGTTATTTTCTCTTCAGGTAAAATAAAGATGAAAAATTTACGATTTAAATTTATTCACGATAGTAACTTTTCTGCTCGCAGTTTGGCAACTTGACTATATCCATCACATTGAAGTTGAAGTTGATATATTTTAGGGCGGTTCAAGGATGTAGCATGATAGATTTTTAAAATTGGTTATTCCGAAAACGAAGCCTCGTACGAAAAAAAATTATTCTACAATTTCGACTTATCTTGGCACGAGGAATCACCTTATTCTCGCTTGTATTACAATTTCGCATGCGCTCTGTATATTAACATTCTTTTTATACATACCGTATATAGCGATCGATTGCGGCAATCGCGAATAACGTTTACGTCACTACCTGGACTTGCAGTGAATTTACAAGGCATCGATCCCCTCTAATAGCTGTCGCTCCGAGGAAATCGCTGTCAGCGAATACAAATTCTTCCGCTTTCGCCGTCACCGTTTATTCTTCTCGCTTTCTACGCGCGTCCAAACATTACCTGCGTGTTGCGCTGTCCATGTCGCAGATCGCGTTCTTTGTGCAGCGACGCACGCCGCGGGTGGGCCTGTATATCGGAATGTTTGCCCGCGTCATTGTTGCGCGTCCGACACTCGATACGTTCCTCCCGGAATCCGGTTTTAAAAAGCGCTTAGAGCCCCTAATGGCCGGCCACCTTCCCTCCTGCCTTACGCGCGATATCGCTTCTTCTTCGGGGGAATCTCTCACGTTCCCTCGCATGTGTGTGCGCGCGCCCGCGCGCGAGGACGAGTGTGTGTTCTCGCGCTCACCGGGAAGCCACACGGGCACACCCAGGGCGCCGCTGACTTTCTGATATATGGGTATATCGCTCGTATCCATTCGCAATTCAGAGACGATGAATACGCGCTGACGTTCCTCGTTGCGCGCACCTGAAAGCTACAGGATCGCTCGCAGGATCACCACGGCATGAGGCTGGACTACCCGTGGGGATGAGTAGTTTGTAAACGGAAGAAGGTGCGAGTAATGTATATCCGAGCAGATGAGACATTTTGGAGGAAAACGTTGAAAATAGTTATATCATAGTCGCAAAAATCTTAGACAAGAATGTTCTTCTAAAAAATTCAATGCAACTATCTTTATTTACAACTATATTAAAGTTTCTACAAGAGATTTTGTTATTGATATTTTCATCGTTTCGCCGATACCTACTAAGTGTGTTCGATAAAGCATCATATTCATGTATAAGAGAAGAGATGAGGCCTTGATAAAACATATATTTATTTTTACGTTGTGCTACTTTTTTCATCCTTCAAATTAAATTATTGAGGATGATAAAATCTAATTCTTTATTTCATATATTTTTTTGCCTATTACATTTCCAGTTGGACCATAGTTGCAAACTAAATAATGCATAGTCCAACCATTTGGTTTCTTGTACTTTATTCGTCCGCATCCGATTTTCGTCGTGTCAGCCCAGACAATTTGAGTATAATGTCCCACTTCGTCACTATGGCCGTATCTATGTATGTACAGATTATTTTTATATCAAATATCATGGATGTGCTTTAAAGAATTAAACTGATAGAATTTATTCTTCACAAAAATTTAGTATCTTTTCTTCACAAAAGAATCTTTTCGGTACTTTAACATGTAAAATTTTTAACGCGGTCGAAAAAAATAACTTTTAAAAATTAATTTAGATGCCTTATGCTTTAATATATATATTTGTTAACTAAACGTGCAAAATATGTCTGATTAAAAGATTCAATACCTATTTGAAATACTTACGTGGAAATGTAACGTCTATCAAAATTAGCTACTTCATTGTACCATGATTGAATCATTTCTTCCAAAGTAGACTTATTTGATGATGAGGCTATATTTTGTCCAACTGAGAATCTTTCTGCGATTTATTATTTATAACAATAAATATATCAAAATAAGCGATTAGAAATTTAATTGCATAGATTATTACTCACCGACGTTTCTACAACTGTCATGACCACGAGAGCATTGATTGGCCCATCTTTGCGCAATTATCTCTAGTTCTTTATCCCAGGTCTAAGAAATTGTAGGTGAAAATTAAATATATTTTCAATCGTATAGTGGGATTAATACAATTAAATTTTAGCAGAATTCGGGATAACATTCTTTTCTAATTGTGTATAATGTATATGTGCAGGTATGTATGTACATATTGTACATATTTTCATAATTGTTCTGTATTCCGTGTATGTATTGCATATATGAAATATAATAAATTATAAACAGGATTTTACACTTCAAAAATTCTATCAAAAATTATAAACTAATAATTATTTGTCTGGTAATAACGTAGATTTTATATAGATATACATGGTGGAAATAGAAAAAAGAACATCAAGAACACTTTATCCTTACAATACCTGATAACACTGTGTTTATTTGTACGGTCAAACACGATGTATGATAAAAAAGACAAGATCGTACAACATATGGAAATCTTTATTGGGGGTACCTTACCCATGTGCGAATGTCGGACTTCTGCCAGAGTTGTCCGCATGGCCCAGAAGTGGCACAATATTGGCTGCCAAGACTTGATGGGTGGCACTGCCCCATACGGATAAACCGCTAGATCAGTATTGTGCCAGTCTCGGTGACCAGTACTCCCATGCAACCATACTCTGTTCTGAGGCGAGTCTCGTCTCAGGATTGATCGTGTATAAGGCCAGAAATGATATTGATCTACGGCCGAAAGTCGGCTCAGTACTGGGGATGTATTGGGTCGACTTAGAAAATTTTCGCTCGGGACCGGAGGTAACAACCGCGCAAAAGCAACACGCCGCGAGAGGACTTAACTTTTTGCTCGAGCGGCGCCGGAGGTAACAACCGCACGAAAGCAACATGCCACGAGGGGACTTAGAAAGCTTTTTGCTCGAGCAGCGCCGGAGGTAACGACCGGGTTCGTGCCTTTCGGTTACAAGTACCCCGAATTATGGTATCATTTGTCTCGCTTCGCGTTTCACCTCCGGCGCCTGTAAGCGACCGTGCGTAAGGCCGTGCGTCGCCGATCGCTCGGCCGGCCGGTTAGGTATAAGAGGTTCGGTGCGCTCGGCGAGCCGAGCGACACGAGCGAGACGTGCAAACGCGTTTCGCTTGGTCCGTACGAATGTGTAAAACGTTTGTGGAATACGTACACGAAAGGGGCACGTACGACGAAGTCGATGCGGGGAGCATCGTTTCCCAACCATATTCCGAGGCGAGTCTCGTCTCAGTACTGACCGTGTATAAGGCCAGAAATGATATTGATCTACGGTCGAAAGTTGGCTCAGTACTGGGGATGTATTGGGTCAACTTAGAAAATTTTTGCTCGGGACCGGAGGTAACAACCGCGCGATAGCAACACGCCGCGAGGGGATTTAGAAAGCTTTTTGCTCGAGCGGCGCCGGAGGTAACGACCGCGGCACGAAAGCAACACGCCGCGAGTGATATGGCAATCAGTGTTGTCCCCGTACTAGTACTCTGTGTCGGGCCAAAGTTGGCACCAAGACTGGGACCCGTGTTATCATTCCGACATTGCCCCAGTAATGACCCCGATTTTAGCTTGTACTGGCCCAGAATCGTCAGCCAGTACTGGTAACTCTGGCACCAGTACCAAGCCAGCACTGAGCCTTTTTGAAATTCGCACATGGGTATTGTAGTACGTTAGTTATAGTAAATATATCCGCCCTTCATGGTGTTTTTTTTTTTATTTCCATCAGTATGTATTTATATTTCAAGATGCATACAAAATACGATTAAGTTATAAAATTATGAGTTATACATTGAGAAGAAGAGTTTGTATTTTGTGCAAAATTAAAACCAAGTTGGATTAACTACAAACTCTTATAGTTCGTCTTTAAAATGTTAAAGAACTACTTTATTTTTGTTAATTAGAATGCAAACTACTTTATTTTTGTTAATTAGAATGCGAACATTTATAACGCATTCATGACTTTGAAAATATTTTATTGTATCTTAATCCTCGAAAGCCACACTTGGGAGGTTTCAAGGACCTCAATGATATTTTGGAACTACGTTTGAAAATATTATTTATATTTTTTAATGCGTATTTTTTTGTAATTATTATTATTTTTTTACATATTCTGAGATTATCATCATAATTTTCAGAAAATTTACGATCTGAAGAAAAAAGGCAATTAAAATATGATAATTTTTTTGAAATTTGTGAACAAAAATGACTGGAACCCTCCAGACTTACTCCAGGCTTACGCGTATGTCAAAAATAAGTGTGCATGGCCTGCGAGAGTTAATAAATATATTATTTATTATATGTCTTACCAAATTCGGCATAAAAATTGCCGCTGGTTGCGGACCGTTCTTTCCTCTCTTTTCCTCACCCGATGCGACTTTCTTCCTCAATTGATTGTGTTTTTCTACTATGGCTTTTCTTTCAGCATCATTAAAACCTTGACTACTCCATTGCCTGCACAATGTCGCCGGTATTGGTGACTGTAATGTGATATTGTAGGAATAACTATAGGCGCAATACAAATTAAATTACTATAAAGCATTTTAATAGAGCAATTTTAAACAATCTTAATTATAAAGCTTTTAGTATTATAAAATAAAATTTCAAATACCCGGAATAACTAAAATAATCTACATTATAACTTAACTAAATTTTAAAGGAGAAAAGAAGAATTAAAATTTACGTACTAATTATGTAATATTTAATTATATGTATTATACATGTACATAAATAATTTCACTTACTGCATAGGTGCACATTGTATGACCTTTGATTTTTTTACAAAATTTTAAATTGCAATAATCTGTCGCATATGTACCAGCAAAGTTTTCCGCTACTATAGCAAGACATAATATGCTGAAAATTAGTGCCATAATTTTCAATACGATCTTTCTAACTTTTTAAATGGTTATAGACACAACTGTTCTTGCAAAAACAAACACAACTTTGAATGGAAACGAAAATTCTAATTTATACCCGACGTGTTATCATTCGACAACGTTATCATTGTCATTAATTCTCTAGTATTGCTTTTTAACATGATTTACGGGTGCTTTATTTTTCCTTATCTTTATTCTGCTTCACAATTGTTCGTGACAGAAACGTGTAGTTTCGAACAGATGTAATCTCTGTTTTTGACCTTCGTCTACGGAGCGATATCGTCAGTTACAAAATTGGAAAACTTATGAATAATTTTATGATTAATTCTTATACAACAAGTACGTTTTATTAATTAATAATTAAAATATAGATTGATTATATTGCGCAACAGCGCTCGCTGCACATTTGCTGCTTTCGCACAACACCCGCGCACTCACGCACTCGTTCGCGCCGCGCACTCCCGGGAATAAAAATAGACTTCAGCTAAACTCCCAAGAACGCCTTTATTAAAAATCGCAAACGGCGATCAGACTACGGATTGGGATTGGATTAAAATTAGAGCAAAGTTCACTAAACTTGAAGTTAGTTTTCTTTATTCTGATTGATTAAATTTCAATCCAATCTCAATCCCAATCCGTAGTCTGATCACGGGTTAAACAGATTCAGAACAGAACAACCGCCACAGCAACAACTGTTGTAAGGGAACTACCTATCTTCCGGGACGCGCTTCACATCGGCCGACACCACGGGAGATGGACGGGCGCAATAATATTAATTAATAATTTAATATAGATCGAATTTAGATTAAAATATCTCTTTCTATAGATTACATTATAAGTTTTTATTAATAATTTTTATAAGCATATGAAATGATACTTTTAATTTTGAAAAGGCATAAATTACTAAACGTTTATTACTTCTCACTAAAACTTTACTTTTGTTATTATTGTTTTGTTTGTTATTAAAAGTATTGTTATTAAAACACAATATGTACATGAGATATGACGGATAACGATATATATACAATGATATATACATTTATTTTAAAACTAAAACATTTTTTTGATGAGTTTATACATGGATCAACATGTATGGAACTTATTAAATTACTAGTCATTTCTTAATTTTATTTTGCATTGATGTAAAATGTTTTTTTAGTTTAAAAGCTAAATTTGGAAAAAAAATATAATAATTTTGGGTCGGGGGCCTACTTTGGGCCCAATAAAGCTCAAGTCGATTTTTTAAAATAAGAAATTTTTATTGTATCGTCTTTTTCTACTAAATAATTTAAACAACTTTTGTCTAAAACATTTTTTTATTTCCCTAATACGTTTTGAGATATTAAAATTTAATGATAATTTTTAAGCTGGCTATTTTTTCAGCATTGCTATGTGAAAGCTTACTTATCATATTGCAAAAGTTCCGAAAAGGAGACTACTGGTTTGGTTATATTCCTTAACTATGGCATCTTCTCCCGACTTATCCTACTTTTTATGGAAAAATGTATGTCATAAATAAACGTTATATAAATTGTTTACACAAAATAAACGGGAAATTTTGTGTAAAAAATTAATACATATTAAATTTGTAATACATTGTTCCTTTTAGTGTTGTGTCACATATGCAAGGAATCATTACTCGTCATTAGCGTCTGTTCTGTTTTTCTTTCTTTTACATGAATCGGGACTGCTTGTTGATAAATCGAATAATGCCCAACAACGACACTTCTTTGTCATTTTGATTGTTTAGATGATGCCTACAGTTTCTCGTATGAAGATATAATGTCCAACTCTATTGTTCTAACACAACAAAATCCGCAAGAGAGACCGTTAATTATGAAGTACTCGGAATATTCCTGTATACGGCATAATTAAAAACATAATATGCGATAGAGGTTTTAATTATGATAGCATTTAAAATGTTTTAAACAATATACATTACTTAATTGTTAAAGAAAAATATTATTTTTGTGGTATGATTAAAAAACAGAAAAAATAGAGTAATTTTTTAAAATATTTTAGTTATAAATTATCCTTGTGCAAAAAAGTCAATATTTAACTTATTGTACGTTATTACCTTGTATAATATGAGTAAGTCAAGTGTCCTTTGCTTTGTCTGTCATTTGTCTAAATGATTGAAGGAGCAAGAGGTGATTCTTGATTTTAACTCAGAGGGATATTATATCTTCCTGTAGAAAGATTCATAAAATCTGTTGAACTTGAAGTACTTGGCTTGCATTAAATAAAATATAGTGTAATCAAAATAGAAAAGAAAGTGTATTTATTTAAAATATCACAGTTTTAAGTTATATATGTGCAGGAAAGTAAATATTTAACTTATAGAATATTATTACATTGTATAATATGTGTGATTAAAAAATGGGCCTGTTCCTCCTGTCATTTGTTCAAATGATTAAACAGGGTATCCAGGTCGTTCTTGATTTTGCGCGCAGGGATCCATACATATAACCCGTTGATATTAATTGCGCAGAGGGATCCGTAACATAACCCGTTGAATTTGGAAAGGTTGGTCTGCATTGAAATATAGTTTAATTAAAAATAGAGAAAGAAGAGTAATTATTTAAAATGTTACAGTTGTAAGTTATATTTGTGTGTAGAGAAAAATAAATATTTAACTTATTAGATATTATTACCTTGTATAATATGTGTACAAAATTGGACCTTCTGTCATTTGTTCAGACAATTGAACGGGCCAGTAATCCTCTACAGCACGAAATATTGCAGCAACTTGCAGCAACATTGCAGCAACATTAAAATATTGCTGCAATGTTGCTGCAAGTTGCTGCAATATTTCGTGCTGTAGGGGATGAGGTGGTTCCTGACTTTGTACGAAGGGAGTCATAATATGATCCGTTGATCTCTGCCATTGTGTAGAGGAATTCATAATATAACCGGATCCATAACATAACATTGCAGAATTTGAGATGTTTGGTCTGCATTAAAATGTGATGTGATTAAAAAATAAGGGAGAAAGAGTAATTATTTAAAATGTTGTAAGTTAAATTTGTGCAAAAAAAGTAAATATTTAACTTAATCAATATCATTACATTATTGTATAAGATGTGTAATATGGAAGTGGGCCTGTTGTTTCGGTCATTTGTCATCTGTCCAAATGATTCAACGGGCAAAGTAGGTAGATATGGTCATATCAAAACGGTCGAAAATAATAGAATGTTTTTAGTTTTTACGAAAGATTGTAGAATAAGCCAAAATAAATTAAATTGATCAAATTAAAATAAAATGTCATTTACGGTCCAAGCTTAAATTTTTAGCCTAATATTATTTGTGTGTACACATCACACACACGCGCGCGCGCACACGCACGCACACGCGCGCACACACACACACACACACACACACACACACACACACACATATAATTCAATTTAACTTCGATGTTAAGCATCTTAACAACTGTAAAGAATTTATTGCGAAAAATATTATCTCAGGCAGAGTTCGAACCTGGAACCTCCATCATATCGAAGGGTGTAATACAAATTTTTGTATTAAATGACATTTATTTATAGGACCAAGTTTTTTTGTACATATAACAATATTATAGCAAAATAAGCCGAAAAGCACACTATTAATTTAATTTAATTTTATTTTACAATAAGCGGTACGGCATATTCGCTCTCGCTAGTACGAACACTTTTTGAGCGTATACTCATGGCATTATTATTTACACAATATTTTCGTATTGTTTGTTATTACAATAGTAATTAAACTAAATTGTTTTAAGTTATGTTTTTTAATGCTCCAAAAAAATGAGAAAGTCCCCGACGACCTAAAAAAAAACTGGATATATCTCACAGCAGTGTGTGACTTGGCGGAGAAAATAAATAATTGATATGGCTAACTTAATTATAATTATCATTTCTGATTTATAACGCTAACAAGTCGTCTTAATATTCAGCAGAACAACTGCTGAGTTGTCGTCTTATCAAAACGCTGCGTTGATTTTTGTTGGTTCTAAAAGTAAGAGCTAATCACGTTCAATTCTCTAGTAGAAATTTAATGTACTTTTTAGTTAATCATGGGCAGTTATACTGACTTTTTTCTAGTAACTGAACAGAAAATTGTTTAGGAGATTCCAAGATATAACGCTTTTCGCGCAATTGCTGTACAGAAAAAATGTACAGATTCTGAATTCAGTTACTTATAGTAATCCAATGTACTTTTAAGATAAGTATAATATTTTTAAAATAAATTATATACCGTATAATATATAGCGTATGATAAGATAAGATATATAAGTTTACGTGTACATTCAAGATAAGTGGACAGTATAAATAGTTTCATGTAGCAGTCAGTACAGTCTTATTGTTATAATCATATCTGTGCAATGTGTTAAACCGTTTTTATATATTATAATAGAAAACAAAGTTTAACATCTTTGGAAATGATTATCAATCCGCTTAATGTTGTTAGACTTTTATTGGTGTCAATAAATTCAATATATGTAACAGAAACGCCAGTAACTGAAGCAGAAGTCGAATTAAAAGAAAAAGAAAACATACAAAAATGATTGCTGGATGGCATTTTTCATTATAATGGGTTGGAAGTAACGGAAGAAAAATATCTCGATTATCAAGAACCTTATAAATTACATACTTTTGAAATAATTGAAGATGGCGACGAAGCATGGAGTGAAGATAATTTAAATTCTCATCCTCAATGTTCAAATGATAATGAAAATTTTGACAGTTCTTATAAAAGACGAGCTGTTGAGTATTGGCGAAATTGGGACACTAACGCAAGAAATGACGGCAAGAAAAAGAATCGTTCTCTAAAATTATTGCAAAACCATTTTAAAAGAGTTAAGCAAGAACATCTAACTGCAGCTATATTATCCCAACCTTCGATATCACATGTTGTTGAACTGTCATACAAACTAAATTGTACTGGATTTTCAAATTTTTCTGATCTTTCGTTCGTATAACCACTTTTAAACCACGAATATTTAAATAAGTTGTGATATCGTGGAGATGACAATTGATTATATATCAGAGATTGCAATTTCATGCATTATATTATTTCGTTCATGCAAATTTATATTACTTTCCAATAGTAAAACAGTATCTAAAAATTTTTTAGCAAAATTTTTCCAAATTCTAAATCCATAAACATCTAATGGTTGTATTTTTTCTGTAGTGCCTTTCGGTATTATCATAGCAGTAATAGATTTTCGTGGAGGTGTTAAATCCGAAATGATATTAGGGCAATGCCCAGTCCAGGAATCGATAAGAAGAACGCTACTAGAACCAATGTTTGGAAAATAAGCTTCTTCTAACCACATTTTAAAATGATTTGTAAGAAATATAAATATTAATTTAATAGCTCTTTTATAACTCTTATTAGATTGTTAAATAAAATATAAAATAGTTATAAACGGAAGTATATACCTGATGTCATTTTACCAGATTTTGATGCTTTTACAATAAAATTTGTTAGTTTAAACAAGTTTTCTTCTACTCTTGGTCCAAATCTACCAGTAATTTCTTTTAATACAATAAATAAAGGTGACAGCAAATTGCCATTACAGGATATTATTGGTTGTACCGTGTATGAATGGGTTGTTGACGATACAGATTGCACGACACGTTCTACTGTTTTTACTCCTTGGTTATCCAATGATCTTCCAGAATGAATTTCCAATTGGAAACTACTTTGATCTGAATTATAAATATTTTCAGATCCAAACTGTTCAATAAGAAGTTTTACTGTTTCCAGAAAATTATTAGTTGTTTTTTGCAAATCAACAGAATCTTCCAATGTTTTTCTAGTGACAAACTTCGTAACTTTTCTTGAAACAATTCGGTGAGACTTCTTGAATCTTGCTATCCAACTGGGAAATGCTTTAAATATAGAATTTAAATTTCCTATTTCTTTTTGAGCTTGTAAAGCCCATCTTTTTAGATCAATATCATGAACCATAAATCCTGATTCAACAGCTGCAGTAAATTTATTATGTGTAACTTGGGAGATGTAAGATAATTTTTCTGTACGACTTCTACCTGATTCTATTTATTCTTCCCATCGCCTTAACTGGCGTTCAGATGAAACTCTTTTAAAATGGTTTTGCACTAATTTTAGAGAACGGTTCTTTTTCTTGCCGTCATTTCTTGCATTGGTGTCCTAATTTCGCCAATAGCTCGTCTTTTATAAGAACTGTCAAAATTTTCATTATTATTTGAACATTAAGAATGAGAATTTAAATTATCTTCACTCCATGCTTTGTCGCCATCTCTCGCCAATTATTTCAAAAGTATGTAATTTATAAGATTCTTGATAATCGAGATATTTTTCTTCCGTTACTGCCAACCCATTATAATGAAAAATGCCATCCAGCAATAATTTTTGTATGTTTTCTTTTAATTCTACTTCTGCTTTAGTTACTGGCGTTTCTGTTACATATATTGAATTTATTGACACCAATATAAAAGTCTAACAACATTAAGCGGATTGATAATCATTTCTAAAGATGTTAAACTTTGTTTTCTATCATAATATATAAAAACGGTTTAACACATTGCACAGATATGATTATAACAATAAGACTGTACTGACTGTGAATATAAGACTGCTACATGAAACTATTTATACTATCCACTTATCTTGAATGTACACGTAAACTTATATCTTATCTTATCATACGGTATATAATTCATTTTAAAAATATTATACTTATCTCAAAAGTACATTGGATTGCTCAAAAATGTTATTTTTTAAAAATGTGTGATGTCACGATGTGTGATGTTATGAGAAACGTGTGATATTTCACGATTCTGATAAGAGATATCTCATAATTGAAGATGACGAAAAAGCACAGAGTGATAGATAATTTAAATTCTCATCCTCAACGTTCAAATAATAATGCAGATTTTGACAGTTTTTAATGTTCTTATAAAAGACGAGCTGTTGAGTATTGGCGAAATTGAGGCACTAATGAAAGAAATGACGGCGAGAACAAGAATCGTTCTCTAATAGTAATACAAAATAAATTAGAAGTTTCATCTGAACGTCAGTTAAGGCGATGGGAAGAACGATTACAATGAGGTAGAAGTCGTATTGAGAGTATTTTAAAAATTATTACATTTTTAGAAAATCTAAATATATATTATACACATATCTATATATATAAGTACCGGACGTCTGTCTGTCTGTCTGTCTGTCTGTCTGTCTGTCTGACCGCGAACTACTCATTCGTTAGTGGACCGAATTTTTATCAAGGGTACATGAAATAGGGGTAGAATTTCCCGGGGAGTGCCATAAAGTGTATAGTTTTTCGTTACCGATTTTTTGAAAACCGATTTTTCTAATTTTTCGGGAAATAATCGACCGAATTCGGGAAATAATCAACCAAATTTCAAAGAATTTTATATGAAACAGAGCTAGAATTTCCCGGGGAATGCCATAAAGGGTATAGTTTTTTGTTACCGATTTTCTGGAAACCAATTTTTTTAATTTTTTTAACTTTTCTGTCCGAATTTTTACCATGAGTACATGAAATAGGGGTAGAATTTCCCGGGGAGTGCCATAAAGTATATAGTTTTTCGTTACCGATTTTCTGGAAACCGATTTTTTTAATTCTTTTAATTTTTTGGGAAATAATCGACCGGATTTTAAAGAATTGTATATGAAACATGAAATTCATAAATAAAAATGACGTCATTAATCGCTCGCGGTCAATCAGTTCTAAATGAAATATGTTATATCATAGATTATGTATAGGATAAGTTGCTACCTTCACATATTATATGTCATCGATCAAAGACAAATCGCAAGGAAAAAACGAAGAAAAGAAGGAAACGCAAGGAAAGAGGAGAGAAAAGAAAAAGAATATTCATAGGAGATATAAGAAAGAAAAAGAAAAAGAGAGAAAGAAAGAGAGAGGGAGAGAGAGAGAAGGAGAGAAAGAGATTGAGAGAAAGAGAGAGAGAAAGGAGAAAGAAAGAGAGAAAGACAAAGAAAAAAGGTATGTATTTTAAAATCAAATTTATACGTTGATGTCTTTTCATCTCTTCATATATCTTTGTTTAATTTCCTTTTCAGTTTAATATCTTATTGATTTTCTGTCTTTTTTACAGATATTTAATTCACACAAAAAAATATTAAAACCTATTTTCTGTTCCCGTTATAAAAATTTGTTCATGTTTCCTGTTTCTATTTTTCCATTCCTTTGGTTTTAAAGGTAATGAATTTACTTTTTATAATGATGATTGCTTTGATTATTATCTCGATGATTAGTTTGATTATTATCTCTCTGAATTGCAAAAATTTTAACTGAAATTATATATTGTTACAAATCTGCTTTTCATAATTGTATATATTGGTTTTTAGCCGGTGCAAGTCCGGCATAACCCTAGGGACCGGCCCTAGGGTATGCATTAGGTATTTTCCTCCTCCAACGAAAAAAAAAAAAAAAAAAAAA